GAGGTGGCTGAGACAACCATCCCCCACCCCAAGAAGGCAGTGAGCCATGGAGAATATGGTAGAACCAATCCTGACATTTCATTCATTCACTCAACAAGTACCTCCCAAGTGCCTACCGTGTACTAGGAGCTGTTCAGGGTTGGGGCACTGCCAGGAACAAAACCTTGCAGGGAAGACAGGAGCTGATAATAAATGCAGTCATCCCTGCTATTCTATGGTTTTGCTTTCAGTTTCAGTCACCTGTAGTTAACTGCGGCTTGAAAATATTACATACAAAAAGATGTTTTGAAAAAGACCAGATTCACGTAACTTTTACTATACTATAGTATATTGTTGAATTATTTATCATTAGTTATTGTAAGTTGGAATTTTTCATAGCTATGCATGCATAGGAAAACACAAGGTATAGGCAGAGCTCAGTACTTCTTGTGGTTTCATTCAACCACAGGGGTCTTGGAACACCTTCCTCTCAGATTAGGGAGGGCCAATGGATATGATTTGAATATGAGAACATCAGAGGAAAGCAGTGAACCACATTATGGGGTCAGTCAAGGGCACCCTGAAGAGGTGATGGCTGTGCTGACATTGAATAATTGGGGGATTGGAGCAAAAACTTACTCAGCTATGTTTACATCCCAGCTCCCAGGACAGCCCTTCCCAGTGAACCTCTAGTCATGTGGAGCGGGGAATGGCACTATTCAGTGGGCAGCATTGTGAAGAATGGGGCCAGGGTAGGGCAGGAGCAGAAGCTAAATGGGGAGATGTGCCAGGGGGTGAGTGGCAGTCAGGGATGGGGAAAGCATCAGGGACAAGAATATCAAGGACTACTAGAGTCAAAGGTCAGGGGTGCCGGTGGGACCTCAGAGTAGCATCATGAGTGAGAGCCTTACATTCAGGGAGGGTCAGACATCAGAAAAAGGCCGCAAGGCAGGATGGAGATTCAAGATTGTATTGCAGCAGGCAGAGTGTCAGGGCTGAATGTGGGCTCAGCTATGATGGTCATGAAGCCACGGTAGGATCAGGGCAATGGAGAGGTTACAGCCCCAAAGTTAGGGCACAGTCAGGGGTCATGACAGTCTTGGGGATCACAAGGCCAAAGTGGGGTCAGGGGCATGCCAGGGGTCAAGGCAGAGCCCGCGTGACCCCCAAAGTAGTCCCCTATCGCTCATCGCCAGGTTCTCGCCCATCGCCATCGACGGCATGAGCGGTCTAGCAGGCGTGGGCCTGTCGGGGGGCGCGGCAGGCGCCGGCTGGTGCATCTTCGTGTACAACCTGTCACCAGAGGCAGATGAGAGCGTGCTGTGGCAGCTGTTCGGGCCCTTTGGGGCTGTCACCAACGTCAAGGTCATCCGCGACTTCACCACCAACAAGTGCAAGGGCTTTGGCTTCGTCACCATGACCAACTACGATGAGGCAGCCATGGCCATTGCCAGTCTCAACGGCTATCGCCTGGGCGAGCGAGTGCTGCAGGTCTCCTTCAAGACCAGCAAACAGCACAAGGCCTGAGCCACTGTCTGCCCTCCCCACCCTCCCCGGGCAGCAGAGAGAGAGAGAGAGAGAGAGAGACAGAGAGAGAGACAGAGAGAAACAGACACAAGGGGCCCGAGAGAGACAGCGCAGGCAGACCATGGATGCCACGAGGGCCCCAAATCCCTGCGGAAGCCACAGGGTGAGCACTCGGGATGGGAGGGTGTGCAAGGAATCAGGGGTGCCTGGGGCCCCCCCACCCTGTTCTCCTGCCCCCTACCCTAGACCAGGCTGTTCACTCTCGTCTTGGTTTTGTTCATGGTGATGGTTTTTGTTTCTTTTTTCGGCTAAAAAGAAAGCAGAGATGTGCTCCCACCCCACACCCTCAACCCTCCTCCATGAAATGGCATGCGGGGGCACTGGGGTGCCCTCCCAGGCCACCTTGCCCAGGCCTCCCCAACACCTAGATTGCCTGAGGAGGGAGAGGAAACAGGTTTAAAAATCCCCAAACAAGTGAGATGTGAGGAGGGGTGTGGTCATCCCTGACCCAGAACCCCTTTGTGGTATGTGAGGAGCAGGGGGAGGGGCTGGAAACAGAAACAAAATGAAAAAAGGGGGGTGGGGTGGGAGGGGAAGAAAAACTCTATTTTTGTAAAAAGGGAAAAAAGACCTCGTGGAGAATTTTTACTGGGGATTCTTGAACTTGAAAAAAAAAAAAGACAAAAAAAAATATTTTGGCAGGTTATGTTTACCAACTGGGGCAGGGATAGGGAGCAGGGCTTGGGGGCTGGGGTTTCACAGGGCCATATAGAGAAACACAGCCATGCGAAACCACACAGGAGCACGTCCCACACATACACAGGGACACATAGCAGCACATATGGACACATAGGCACCCCCAAACGTGGCAGAACTGTTGGCCAAACTCAGACACAGACAAACCTGTGGACAAAGGAGACAGAAGCACAGGGCTACATTAACATGGTCGTGGGTACATATGGCCGCAAGCCAAGGTGGCCAAGGGTGAATGTGAACACAGGTGAAGGTGGACACACAAGCGTGAACACTTCCACACATGCACACGAACACATGAAAGTGGATATAGATTTGAACACACAAATCTACAAACCCAGTCACAGAGAAACAAACATACACACCCTGGGACACACTAACATGACCTTAGCTTCCTTCAGGCCCAGGCAAGAAGTCACATCCTCAACCCTGGCCAAGATCACTTCCTCTAGCTAGGCCTCCTGGTTCCTCCCAGCATTTGGCCCTACTTGTCCCTGCCCGGGTCCTCTGCAGAGCTGTCTCCTGGCTCGTTAACAGTCTCCCTGCCGCCCATGAACACAGGCGTGCACACAAGCATCCATGCACCCAGACACACAATACCTCGTTCCACTTTGGCATCACAGTGGGCTGGAGGTAGCCCCCAGCCCCAACAGTTGAGGCCAAAGGACCCCCTGTCCCTGAAGGCAGCCCCCAGCCCCAACAGTTGAGGCCAAGTGTCCCTAGGCTGAGTCCCTTGCCCACCAGGCTGAGGGGGAGGAGTGCCAAGTCAGGACCTCCCCCCATCCGCCATCTCCAGGGATGCTCCCAGTCAGGCCCAGGGTGGGCTGATCCTGCCCTACATTCTTTTCCTACCCACCTGACCCACCCTGCCCCTTTCAGTTTGTTGGGTTTTTTCATCTTTCCAGAGGAGTGAGGTTAATAGCTGCAGCCCCCTCTTGAGCCCTGGCCTCAGCCTCTGTATGAACTTTTCCATCCCCTAATCTTCATTCTTTGTACAAAGATTCCAACAGAAGCCAAAGGCCAGAGCCCCAGGGGGCCTCAGTGTCCCCAGCGCCCCCCCCACCCCCCCAGTGCCCAGTCAGAACTGAGAATCACAAACCCTGACTTCAGCTTTAGTTGCCCTTCCTCCAGTGTCCCTGCGTGTGGTGTCTGGCCATGGCCCCATCTGGCTGCCCAGCTCTCTCTCCCCCCCGCCCCTCCTGGTGTTGTTATTAAACGTCTGTGGAGCTTCTGCTGCAAGGAACAAAAAAAAAAAAAAAAAAAAAAAAAATCAAAAAAGTCATTTAAAAAAAAAGAGAAGAGAAAAAAAAACAGAAAAAAGAAACACAGAGAAGAGATTTTTTAAAAAGGAAAAAAAAAAAAGACACAAACTGGCACCAGTTAACTTTCTTGTACTTTTTTGCTGAATTTAGCTTCTTGTAGTTTTAACTTATTGCTATGTTAACTATTTATTCTCCTCGTTGCCCTGTAAGGACATTTGTGTATATTTCTGTTACTTCATCCAGTTTGCAAGTTAAAGGAACCATGACGTTCTCTGTTTCTTTCAGTTTTGCCAAGACGTGGTTATGCCTAATTTATTTATAAAAGGGGAAGTGGAATTATTAAAGTAATAATTATTAATAACAGTAATGGTAGCGAGCGGCACCCAGGGAGCGTGTGCTCTGCGAGGTGGTCCCGCCACCAGCAATGTACGGGGTTTCAATGGGATTATTTTTTGCTCGTCTTGAGAATTTTCAGTCCTATTTAGCTGGTGAAAACCCTAGCTTGTTCTTGATACACAAACCTATTTATTCTTGTGGTTTTAAGTCCTCCTGACCTCCCACCTCCCCTCCAGCAGGGCAGGCACCCCCAGCGGGTCCCCCCCCCCCTCTGCTATTTCCTGGGGCTTTTTCTCCCCTCAGTCCTCCGCGCTCGAGGACACGTGTACACACGTGGGCAGTGCGCCGGAGGCGTCTGTGAGCAATAAGGGCTGGGTTTGTCCCCTACCCTGGGGGAGGGGGGTCAGGCTCTGAAGAGGGGGCACCTCCCCCAAAACCCCCACTGAGGCCTAGGCCTCTCCCACTCCCAAGACTGGGAGGGGACTTTTATTTCTAAAACACAACTCAGCCCACATAGACCCCTTCCCACAGGCCAGCGCCTCACCTCAGGTAAGGGGGCCTGAGGTCTTCCTCATCCCTGAGGGGGCAGCACAGAGCCTATGGGACAGGGCTCAGCCCCTCCACCCTCCCTTTATTCTGTTACTTATTCAGAAGGTTTCAAATCATGACAAAGTCCATGTTGAAGGTGATAAAGAACTGTTTAAAACAAACAAACCCAAACCCAACAAGAACACATTATGTTGCGTTTAGACTATTTATTACCGGGATTACAGGCCTGGCCGCGGTAACAGACTTTTACATGGAATTGTTTAATTATTTGTACTTTTCATGCCAGAAAATAAAAGTTCAGAATCTTACAGACTCATTGGATATCTGTGAGCTGCTGGGTCAGGTTGTGGTTTGTGGCTGTGGGCAAGCCTGCCCACAAGCATGCAAGATAATGGGGATGGCGGGGGTAAGAGACTGGCCCAGGGTCTTGTCTGACCCTTGAGGCTAGACTTTGTATGGTGCAAATCATTTCAAGTATGACTGGTGAGGCCCTTCCTGTGGTGCTGGCCTGGAGGGGTGGAGAACCCTGCAGGATCTGCAGACCCTGCCTGTCCCTGGCCTGACCACACCCAAGGAAAGCAAGGCAAACACAGATGGGAGAGGAATGACATTTATTGTTTTGAGGTCACAGGTCAAGTCACGTCCCCACAGAAAAGGAGGCAGATGCCCTGGAGGTGGGGTCGAAGGGGTGAGCCCCTTTACTCCATCTTTGGAAGCTGCTGGGCCTGGGAACATGGCTTTGCCCTGCATGGCTCCTGGCAGCAGGGCACAGAGCCTCCACCCAGTTCCTGCCCCTATGGGTGGAGGGAGAAGACCTAGAGGAGCAGGTCTTGGTCCACAGACTGAGGTGCAAGTGGCAGCACTGCTGGGGGCTGGTTCTATGCCTTGAGGTTCTGGAGGATGGAGGTGAAGGGAGTTGAAGAGCATGGTCCTGGCTTAGGTCTCTCCCGTAGTTCCTGTGACACTAAGGAGGCACTGCCTTCACACTTACCTCTCTGTTGAGTGGGACTATAGCTCATCATGGTCACCTTCAATGGGCAGCTCGGGCGGCGGCTCTGGGCAGGCAGCTGGCGTCGTCAACTCCATGAGGTATTCACAACGACTGGGCTCTGTGGTGCTTGTTACTACCGTCTCCTTCCCACATAGCAGGCGCACCTGTAGTAGGCAGGGAATCAGGGGTACTACAGCAGACCTAGGTCCACCCCCATACTACCCCTGCCTTCCCAACAGGCACTCACAGTGGTGGAACGGTTGGGACCTTGCCAGCAGCCAGTGCCCTGCTCGTATTTCATGGTGCTGAACTTGTCATGTTCAGGGCCTGCCCATGAGCCCCAGGTGCTGCAAGAGAGAGGGGTACTAAGGGGCAGTCCAGTGGGAGAGACTGGGGACTAAGGAAAGGGGGTTTCAGCTTGAGTCCACTCACCCAAGGTTGGTAGGGGAGCCACCCAGTTTAGGTTTCTGGGAGACGAGCTTGAAGGGACAGAGACGGTAGATGTACCTGTCACAAGAAAGACAGGCCAGGTAGGTAGGGGACTCTAGTCTTGATGCCCCCACACATGGGAGGATCAGATTTCATACTCCACTGACTGCCCCTAAGCCCACACACTGACGTTTCCTCTCACTGTGTCCCTACTCCACCCCCAAGTCCACCCACTGGTCTTGTCTACAGGGGGTGAGGATACATACTCATTGGTGGTGAGCTCATAGCACTGGCTGTATAGGTAGGCGAACTCTCCATTAGGACCAAAGTCGAAGGAAATCTCCTGCTCTAGATTCCTGGAAGAGGATTCAAGAGGTTAAAGATGCCACAGCTTACAGCTGTCCAGACAGCACAGGAAGGTGCCATCAAGCAAGCAGAGGGCCAAGTGGGGGCTGGGATCCAGTTCCCTGCCGCCTGGGGACCCTCCACACAGGTGCCAAAACCCCGCCTCTCTAACTTTGCCAGCAGTTACCTGGGTGACTCCCCATTACCACCTCCTCCGGGGAGCCCCACAGCAGGCAACGGTAGGCCAGGTGGAGACTTGGCTGTTTGAGACAAGATAAGTGCCTGCATACCTGATGGACTCATCTACATCCTTCAAGGACCGCTCAGCCTCTTCAAACTTGTCGCGGGCTTCTTGGGCAGCTGGGCAAGTGTGGTGGAAAAGGTTGGATGTACCCTCCCCCATGTGCCACGGACACAGCTGTTACCCTCCCCTGGCCCTCGTCCCCAAGTGGGAAGCCTGAGGACTGGGCCCATGAAGTCCTGTGAGCCTCCTCAGTCACGAGGTGACCCATCCTTCTGCCCTGACTCTCAGCTCCCAAGGGAGCTGGGGCAGGGCTCCTGGGATCCAGCTAACTCCCAGCCAACCAGGGTGGCACAAACAAGCTGCAGCCCATGATAAAGCAGGAGGCCCCTGAGACTTATGGGGGTGCCACTCACTTTCCCAGGCCCCACTAGGATTTCCCAAGACCCCCAGACTTGCTCAGGGCCAGTCCAAGCTCTTTTAAGGAGCAACGGGGCCTGCTTTTTAGGCTCCTGAAGGTGCAGACAGCAAGGAGGGGTAGGTTTGGGCAGGGTACCTTCCCTCCAAGGCCTAACCCTCACCATCAATGAAGGCCTGTGTCTGCTCATCATAGGGTGGCATTTTGTCCTCTTCTGTAGGGCTGGCTGGCTGTGGTGGCACCAGTGGAGGTGGGGTCTCCTGGAAGCAGGGTCAAATCAGCAGGTGACCCCTGCCCCCACCCTTCACCCCTTTCTCCCCAACACACACACCTTGGACTGCTCCCCCTGCACCTGGGAATCTTCTTCCTCTTCATCCTCTTCCTCCTCGTCCGTCTCCTCCTCTTCCTCCTCCTCTTCTGCTGTTGGTGAGGCCACCAGGGGCTGCTCCTCCTTGGGCTTCATCAGATGGGGATCAGAAGGCACTGGCACATCAGTGGGCAACACCTGGTGGGCATGTGGGGCTATGGACTCAAGGACCACTTCCCTGCAACCTTCCAGGCTTAGGTCCACATTCACATCACACAAGGGGCAGCCTCAGTTCTCCACCCCTTCAGAAGGGCCTGGTGAGTGAGTGAGTATATGTGTGTAGGCAGACAGCTGGAGTTGAGGGGGCTTAGGTTGCCCAGCTGGCCAGGATGGCCCTGTGCCAGAACTAGAAGCAATTCTTTTGTGAGACGATGGGGGATGGGGCAGGCCTACATTTTCTACCCTGACCAACCTCAGACCGGTACTTGTTTCTGATGGCAGCCCAGACACGGTCATAGAAGGCAGTGGTGTCCATCTGTGTGTCCCCTCCAAGGAGGGCCTGTGTGAAAGTGTTGGGGGTGCTGTCAGGACTGGGACATCCATCTGCCCCGATGTCCCAGAGTGCCAAAGGGGAGAGCTTAGGCTGTGGTGCCAGCCACAAGACAGCTGGTGCCAGGTTGCCAGGTTGAGCTCTGATTGCCAATGGCTGGGCTGGGTGAAGACAGAAGCCAGAAGGGGGCAGCACAGGCCTGTGGAAAAAGTGGGGGCTGGTGGGGGGGGGGCAATAACAGAGACCAGGACAAACTGAGACAGAGAAAGTGAAAACAAGTGCACAAGCATCAGAGAAAGCCAGACTCTTCGAGTATAGGCCAGGCCGAGGTAGGACAGGGAGGGACCAGGGATCAGGTATCACAGAATAGCGTGGGTCACATGAGGAGCATGAATCAGGTATACATTTGAGGAAACAGGTGGAAGCACATGGGTGCAAACCACGGTCTATTCCACTCCTTGTGATCCCACCAGGCCCCAAGGGCAGGGAGAAGAGACACTGGTGGCTGCCATTCTGGCTTACCCAGGTGAGGCTAGGTCCTAGCCGCCTGGCCCAAGGCCAGTAGGGAGCTTCCCAAGTCACCTGTCCCCCTTCTCCATCTGAGGTTGCCCTGGGGTAATCATCCCCCAGACTGGTTCTGCTGGTTTTTAAAATTGGGTCTATGAGGAAAGGACTCCAGAGCAGGCAGGGGACAGAGCAGTTTAGGCAGGGAAAGGTACCTGGGCTTCCCCTTCTGAGAGAACTCCATCCCCATCTGTGTCCAACTCTGAGTGGGTCTGCAACTCGGCTACTGTGACCCTGGTGGAGGGTGGGGGGGACACAAGCAGAGGCTGATGGCAGGGTAAGGCCCACCAGCTTCTGGTCAACTGCCAGCCCCTGCTAGCCCGAGTCCCTCCCCAGAATTCGCTTCTGATCTCAAGGTAAGAGAGGAGGGGTGACATGAAGCTGGAAGGTAATGGCTGGGGTTGGGGTTCTCTGGCCCCCAGGCATGGGTGAACAGGTACCCACTCCCCAGTCCCCTGCCTCCTACCCACACTCCCCTTCTGGGGGTCTCCATAACCCTGAAAACTCAAAGGAGGTATGAAGAAGAGAATGGTAATAGGAGAGCCGACTCTTCCATGTGTGTCCCCCAAGGATCCTTCTCCTGACTTCCTCCCTAGAACCTGTCAAAAATGGCCTCTGCCTGACATACAGTAAGGCCTCTAATACTCACCATGGCCTGGGCACCATATCCTATTCTACCACCCAGCAACACTGCCAGTCAAGGACTGAACCCCAGTTCCAGGCCAGTCCACAATTCTTTCCTGGGTGCCTACTCATCTTGGCCCCACGTTCCCTGTGGCCTCCTCCTTTCTAATGTCCACTCTAAACGGAGCCACTTCCACAAGGTCAACCAGTCTGTTCAGGGGCACAGCCTGAATTCAAAGGGGTCTGGCTTTTACCAAAGTGTCCAGCCACCAGGCAGGCTTGGGAATGTAATAGGGTCCTTGGTCCTGTTGTCTGGTTCTTGCCTCATTTCCCCCAACCCCAATTCTGGTGTATGACCCATTTCACACATGAGGAGAAGATACTCGCTCAGAGAGAACTGGGATCTTCAACTCAGGCGCTACAGCAAGTTGGTGAGATTCTAGCTGGTTTCTAAAGCTGGGGCCTATAAGGAGAGGTTTGGGGGGCGGGGGAGCAGTCGGCTTACTCACGCCCCATCCATGTCGTCATCCAGCTCCTGGAAGGCACTGGCTGCCAATTCCTGCTCCCGCTGGGCCTTTGAAGCAGCCTGCTGCTCTGTGGAAGGGCCAGCTGTCACCCTCTACCCACCCACCAACCCTTGCCATCCAAAATCTGCCCTCCCCCAACACCCCAGGGAGTCAGTCACTATTGTGTGCTTGGCCCTAGGCTGAATGCTAGATCCTAAGTCTAGCCACAGTGGGGACAGACTGGGGATGGCGGTGGGAGCCAGAGGAAGATAGAGGCTGGCCAGGGTGAAGCCTGGAGAAGACAAGAAGTGCCAGAGTGCAGGGAAATTCTGAAGAGGGAGCTGAAGGGATCTAAAGGTTTCTAAAGCTGGGGCCTATAAGGAGAGGTAGATGGACTGGATTTGGGGATAGGAGGCATAGAGAACTAATTCCTGGCTTGAGCAAGGGGGGCTGGAAGAGGGGTGGTTGAAGAGCACTCATTAGGTTTACCCACAAGAAGCCATCCAGGCACCCAGCTCAGGCTCACTCTTCAGGGATGGAGACTGGGACAGGGCTATAGCCAGGCAAGGGGGACATCCCAGGAGCTCAGAGGAGCATCTCAGGAAAAGGGGGATGGATAGTCACACAGAAGAAGGGACCTGGGCTACAGTCAAGTCTGCTCTGATACTCTGACTGGGCGGAGGGGAAAGCAGCCACAGTGGGATTCCAATGATTCAGCTCACACTATAAGCTACTATGCCTGGACCGGCCCCTACCCCCAGACCCTCTGCAACAAGACTGGCAGTGCTGTTTCCTCTGCTATACAGGGGGCCACCCCAGGAGACCTCACAAAGCCCCAACAGACCTGGCTGACACTATGTCTCTCACAGATGGAGGCCTGAGGCTCAGCCAGGTCAGGGGCCTGTCATGGTCACCCAGCTGGCCAAGGATAGGGCTAAGGGCCCTAGCCAGCCATCTGCTTCAGGGTCCATGCTTGTCCCTGACAGTCTTTGGGAATCTAGGTCAAAACATGCTGTGGTACCCTCTGACTCAGTAACTACACTGAGAACATGGGCTCAGGGAAATCACCTGTGACATGAAAATAGTGGAAACAGACAAAGTGACAAGACAAATGGATTCACTTTCTCAGAGTGGCAAAAAACAAACAAACAAAAAAACAGCAGTAGGAACTTTGTGCCAAAGTTACAAAGGAAAACCACTGGCAACTTAAGTCAATCCTCTCACATATAACATGTACACAGAGGATGAAGAAATGCACCAACATCAGGATCAAAATAATGGCAACTGGATTAAATATAGCCCACTAGGGTCAATGGAACACACACCTGTCAAAAGGAAACAGGGTATTACACTCATTGCAAACTGGATGAACATCAAAACATTTGCTAAGTAAAAAAAGCCAGACACAAAAAGCCACATATTATATGGATCTACTTCGATATAATTTGTTTAGAAAGAACAGGCAAATCCAGAAAGTAGATTCCTGTTTGCCAGGGGCTAGAGGACAGGAAAATGGGAGTGACGACTTAAGGGATTCTGGGGTACACTTCTGAAGTTATGGACATGGAGCTACACAGAGGTGATAGGCACATGGCATTGTGGGTATAATTAACAATAGTGAAATGTACACTTTAAAATAGTTGCAGTAACAATAGAAAACTGTATGTCATATGGATTTTACCACAAAAAGTGTGAAGGATTAATGGGACCTCAGTGGTGCAATGGGTTAAGTCTAAGCACTATGAAGCTATCTGCAGCCACTGTAGCCCCCAGCCAGCCAAGGAGGTGACCCACATGGCGCAGCAGACCTCTCCTGACCTGCCTGCTTCTCCCCTCAGCAGTGTATTTCAGTAGATCCGCCTGTTCTGCTCCCCACTCCATATCTGGTGAATCCTCTCATCCACTGCACCTCTGGCATGTACCCCAGTTCTTATATACATAATAATAAATCTTTAAAAATAAAAGAGTGGCCTCCCTGGTGGCGCAGCGGGTTAAAGCACAGCATTGAGAAGCTAAAGCCACTTCCGCATGAGTTCGAATCCC